CTGTAGGAGCCCCTTCGGGATCTGTACACACCCCAGTGAGTGTAGTTGATATTATTGAGGGATGGATCTCCCTAGACATGAATCTTATCTGAAGCACGTGATACTTGGAGATGGATCTTCTCTATAAGGATGGATTGGCCTTCCTCGGTATTGGATGATTATGGTCAGTGATGTATATATTCCGGGATGGATCTTCCCTGAGCCGTATGGGCCATATACAGTATCGAGTGGTTGAGCATTTGACAGTGTGAGCACATGAGGCTGACAACATGGTTCATCAGATACAGCATGTGCATTGGCATGTAGAAATAGAAAAGTTATATTCTTCACATTGTTCAGATCTGATCTATTTCACTGTTTTGAGCTATCTATTTAATTTGAAAGCATGCCAATATTTCTGCACTGTTATTTCTATTGTTAACTGTACTGGTTGAGTTCGTCACTACCTTTTAGTCCAAAGGTTGGACTTGTTACTTACTGAGTTGGTTGTACTCACGTTATTCCTTGCACCTCGTGTGCAGATCTAGACGCTTCTGGTCACGGCGGCTGCTGATTGAGAAGTCAGATCTCGGAGACTACCGAGGTAGTTGTATGGCGTTCGCAGGCATTGACTCTTTTTCTTTATTTCTATCAATATTTTGATTTTTATTCCCTAGACACTATAGTGGACTGTATTCTGGGTTAGACGCTCGTGTACTCTGTGACACCCCGATTCTGATATAGGTTGAATCGCATTTTGGGTTGTTTCTGTTTTCAAGAGGCTTTTTCTTAAATATTAATTACTTCTGCCTTTATTTTTAGAGTGTTTTACAGTATTGAGATGTTGAGTTGTGGCTGACCTAGTTCCACGATAGGCGCCATCACGACTGTTGATTTTGGGTCGTGACAGTTTGTCTATAACTTACATTTTTCCCTCACAAATGGTTCAAGGTCAGGAACCAAATAATTCTATCTTATTATTATTAATGTGCGGTGTATATTTTGATTAACACCATATCACACAAAGGTAGATTTCCAAAGTTGAGGAAGCAAGTTAGCTTTTCTAACATAAGGGGGAGACATGATAAACAGTTGAGAAATAGTTACGAAATGAATTATCATTTGTACATCTAGATCCTCGAATAAGATAATATGAACTTGAAGTTCATAAAAAGATAATCCATCTACAATATGTTGCAAAGCATGCCAAACGCATTTGCTTACCTAAAGAAAGTAACTATATTCTTACTGCAAATGCTCCTGTTAGAATAAGTCCTATAAAGACAAAATATATGGTGCGCTTAAAGCGTATAGACAAACCGGTCTCAAATAAAATTCTTGACAAAGAAGATGAGCAAATGATCAAAATGATCATAATAAGGAGGCAAATGATCTAGAAAATCACATAATATAATACTTCATAAAATTCCAGGAGAGGTTCAGGTACATGAAAATATGAATGAAGAGATCTCTATGTCATGTCTTTATGAAAAAAAGTGGTTAGAACTGATATACAATGTTCGTTGATTACATCTATGATAACGCTAAATATATATGAGGATCTTAAGTCTAGAGAAACAATTCATGTAGAATTGATTTCATATGAAAGACATGTAGTTTTGGACTTGCAGTTCAAACACTTGAAAGTATAAAAGTCAATAATGCANTATATATATATATATAACTATAAGCATGATAATGTGATACCGATACTTTTTACCTCTACGGAGATATTGAAAAGGTCATTCCACGGCATTATATGAAGACATTATATATCTATCACGAATGATTATTTCAAGGTGTAACATATTCATTGGAGTTAATATGTCTGATTTATTCATCAAATCTCTACCGACGTCAACCTTCAAGAAGCTAGTGTACAAGCTTGGGATGCGAAGGCTCAAAGATGTGAATTGATTGTCTCATCAGAGGGAGTTAATATGTGTTGTACTCTTTTTTCCTTAAAAGATTTTGTCCCACTGATTTTTCTTGCAGGGTTTTTAACCAGGCAACCAAAATGCGTATTGTTAGATATGTGTACTCTTTTTCCTTCTCTAGAATTTTTTCCCACTGGGTTTTATTATAGCTAAGGTTTTAACGAGGCGCATTATCTGTTGAATAGACATTCATGGGGAATATTATAAATATAATTGCATTTAAGGTGAATGTCTATATTTTTGAGAGATAGAGTTTGTTAATTTGTGCCTAAGTCACTTTTTCCCTAAGTTTTGTTTCATTGTAAATCATTCCAAATCAATAAACTCTCTTTCTCTCTACTTTTCTCTGGAATACTCTCTCTTCTTTTATTGTTTTATAACAAAATCTTTGTTTCTTTTTTCTTTCTTATTTTTCAGTTTCTTTTTTATGCCAAGTGAGGAGTACTGGAAAAACATAAACATCTATATAGAATCAATCCATTAATAAAATGGGTCAATGAGAGAAAAATATCAATAAGAAAGATAATGATTAAAAAAATAGTGACGGTAAGAAGAAGAAGAAGAAAAGAAATATCATGAAACTTCTAATAAAGCTCATTATTTTACAAAGACCAAATTTCTCAAAATTTTACTAGCTAGTCGATTAGCTTGATTATAAGAAATCACTTTTCAAAAACTCACAAGCTAATCAATTTGCTTGATTACGAAAGCTGAAACTTCTGTAATTTATTATCCGGCGAAATATTAATAACATTACAAAATGATAATACAAATTAGCACAAAAATATATATTGTCACGAATACTCATAGTAAATAACAAAAGAAAACGAACATACCTAGTAAATCCACAGCTTTCCAGATCTATTGTTTCTTTAATGGTGACTGGTGAGGGTTATATATTTCCATTTATAAAAGTGATCATTGATCAGAAATGAAATCAAAAGTTCTTCGGCTAATGTTAAACTGTTAAAACTAGGAGGTGAAGAGGCATAGATTGTGATAAATATTCTTTCCAATTAACAGCTCATTGTAGTAATTACTTACCATTTAATAGGGTTCCAATGTAACAGTCAACTTAATTTTCTGTTGGCCAAATGATTAATGACCATATTGGTTGAAACAGGCCTGGCATACCACATGGCCGAGAATAATTAGCAGAAGATGAACAACTCTTCATATATGTTAGAGTATTCTAGAAATGATTGATTGTGGTAAATAATCATTTAATGGATTTTATTTGGCTAAAGGCTAATTTGGTCATTAAGTTTTTGAAGTATATTTTAGTAAAATAACTTCACCTAAAAGTCTTCATACTTATAATATAGTATGATCCACCTTTTTGCATTACTGAATAATAAAATTACCATATTAACCTTAATTTATTTATTGGAACTGTAACAAATACTCCTATGTTCTTTATTCTAAGGGCAACTTTTGGAAAAAAAATTAATTCCGTATTGATATTTGTAAAAATCATATATTGTGGACCACACAAAAAAAAATTAAAAAATCTATTAAAGTGGACCATAGGGAGTATTAGCTAGTTAAGAGGTTATGTTTTAGAGTTAAGTTCTCAGTTAACTACACAAACTTCTAACTATTTGATACAGGCTAGGGGTGTTCAAACCGAACTAAAAAATCATACTAAACCGAAAAGTAAAACCACACCAATTAAAAAACCCTATTAAGTTTGGTATTGAGTAGAAAAATCTAACCAAACCGACATATAAATATATAATTTTTATATATACTTTTAAGACTTTATATAGAATTTTCTTTAAAAAGTATCTAGAAATATTTGGGATCCTCCCATAGGATGTATTTAATAGAACTATGAAGTGTATCCATTTTTATTTACTTTAAATAATGAGTTGTATCATCACTTCTTATGATTGAAATGCATCAATCTTTTTTGTCCTTTCATATTCATACAAGATCTATTAAATTCTTATATCTTTTTTGAATTTGAAATGGTATTTTAATAATTTAAAATTCAATAGTACATATCATTATTTACGTGTCATATTGATTTTTGTGTTTACTTATTAAATTCGGTTAACTTTGAAAGCGTACATCCACGAAAAATCAATGCTAGATGACTAAGAAAATAACTATTATATCTTACCAAAAAAATTCCATAAGAATATTTTAATAGATTATATATTTGTCAGTTTTTTAAATTTTTACTAAACATATATTCACTTATCAAACCTTTATCTATAGCTTTAACAAAGTAAGATTGTCATAATATTCATGCAACAAAAAAAAACCCGTAAAATTCGATAAAATTAAACTAATCCGGTCCATCTACACCCCTAATACAGGCTATACATAGTTGAATTGTTTTTACGTATCCGATAACTCATCTTATGTATTTGGGGTGAAATTTAAAAATAGCCAGATTACAACTGGTCGTTCAAAAATAGCTCAGTTTCAAAAGTAATCAAAATTTAGCTACTTTTCATGTAAAGATAAATCTGAGCGAAAATACTGTTCAAAACCCCGGAAAATACGCCAGTATATTATGCTGGAGTTCCAGCATATTATCCTTGAACTCCAGCATATTATACTGGAGTTCCAGGATAAGTATGCTGGAACTCCAACATAATATGATGGAGTTCCAGCATAAGTACACTAGAATTCCAGCATAATATACTGGAGTTCCAGCAAGTATACCGGTCCAGCATAATATACTGGAGTTTGGAGCACCGGTGCTCCAGTCTCCAGTATATTATACTGGAGCTAGCAAAGTATACCGGTGCAGCATAATATGCTGGAGTTCATACACAGGTGCACCGAACTCCAGTATATTATGCTGAAACGGTCTCTGTTGCAGCAAAATAGTGGCTATATTTCATTGATTTAGTAAACGCTGGCTATTTTTGAATGACCAGTCCGAAAACTGGCTATACCGTGCTATTTTGACATGTATTTGTCGTGGATCCATTCGTAAAATCCAAAAATAGACTACGCCGACTGGGAGTGGAAATGCTAATGAAGTGAGTAAAAATTGTATCTGATGACCAAATTTTGGACTACTTATTAATAATAGCTATTGTTCAAAATCAAATTGAGAAATAGCCATCTTTAATGCGAAAATAAAATTTAAACAAAAATAGGCCGAGTTAAAGCATGAGAATATTCAAGCACATTGTAATGAAGTTCAATTTTTTTACAAGTGATAGTAACCAAACTTCCTATAAATCACGCAGAGAAATAACAAGACCAATGATTAGCTTGTCATTTTTCTTATGGCAGAATTTTAAGACTTGTTAACTTGAAATTGCAATTTGCAAGTGGCAGAAGGTAATCTTTGCGCGCACTCACTTGACATACTTGCAAAACCAATCTAACATGTCCTTGTGGGCTTTTTCAGCATTCTTCACTGCCTATTTGTCTTCCACATTGTATCACACTGTCCACCCATGCTCAACACCAGCAAATATTTTGACAAAGCTGTCCACCTATATTTACAGAAGGGCAACAAAGAAAAGCAAAGGGTAAAACCTAAAATCATGAATGTAACAAATCCATCAAATTTGTTCCTTACTATCTTAGTGTATTCCCTGAATAAACAGGACAGTAGTATATATTTTCAAACTTCAATCTGATAAGAAAATCTTAATAATCAAGTCTGATCATGTTCTTGTACCTTGGGTTTTGATGATAGAATCTCCTCCAACTGCTTAATAAGCTCCGGAGGAGAGATTGGATCTATCTCAGCAGCTAAAATAGCTATTGGTGCCTTAACCTCTGCAAGTAATATGCATTACCAATCGAAATACTCAATAATCTAAACTATTTGATATATAAGACAATTTCAGTAAGCTTATCATACTATGATCCTAGTACGATCACAGTTGGTCAAGCAAGGCCTCATCATCTAGTTCTAGTGGATTAGAGCATCTCTCTTTCAAGGAGGCAGCAGAGATTCGAATTCCCCTGGGGTAGGGTACTACGTATATGGGATGCATATGCATCAAATTAGTGTAAATTCAACAGTAATACCTCAATATGGTATTCAAGCTGATTTTAGTAATAACAGCAATACCTTTAATATCATCAACCGTGACTAATGATGGGTGCAATAGCACTGCAGCTTGAATGTAGTCATGAGACATAGCTAGGTCAGTAACCACCTTTCCTGTTAAGAAAACTAGAGATCAGAATCACAACAATATTAACCCTAAAACCATAGAGTTCAAAATCTTACCACCCCAGCAAAATCCTGCAGCTCCAATTGTACATATACCTTTATCTTTTAGAGCAGCAACAACCTTTTTTGCATCTTCAAATCCTTTATCCTAACAAGAATTAACAATAAGAAAATGAATAGCAAGGTGGCCTGCTGCTAAGAATGTCACAGGACATTCCGAGCACAATCAACTTAATGAATGGCATGCAGAAGCAGAGTCAGAATTTGAAGCTTATGGATTCGAGAATGATTTCTAAGTTAATAATTTGTATGTATTCAATGGATTCTTAAGACAAATATAATTTTAGACCAAAACTAGTGAGTCCAGCCGAACCATAACCTAAACTCTAGATCCACCCCTGATGGCATGGGCTCCTTTGACTCTGTAGAGACAAATCTATGGCTATATTATTAAAAAAAGAAAGCTTAAATTCAACAAATTCTGAACACATATTGTTCCGCCAGATTGGTAAAGGCTTGTCCGTATTTTCAGGATCATAAGGATCGCCATAAAAAAAATCAGGAACCACCACATAGTATCCTGCAGCCGCAACTTTGTCCTACATATACAACAGCAGTTGAATTTTGGTAGCAGCCCAAGATAAAATAGGAACTTCCTTAATTAATTACTAAACAAATTAAACAAAGAACGGTGAACCTGACTTCTTCCCTTGAAATGTAACCACAAATTAACACATGCATACCTCAGATTTGGTGATTCATAACCTGCAAAGAATACTTAAGACCATAAGTGATTGTCTTCCGATCCCAAAAAAATAGAAAGAAGATAATCCTTATACCATAGTAATAAGGTGAAAAATGGAAATNATATATATATATATATATTTGTTACACATTATGCTTGAAAGAGGAGGATGTAGGAGGAGCTAGGAATTTTGGAATTTTAAAAAACTCAATCGCGGTTCCGCCTACCATAAACATCCGAGACGAGAAGGATGGCAAGTTTGGAAGTGGAAGGACCAGAGACGTACGTTTTGAGGCCCCCAAGGTCAAACACACACACCCCTCCGCTGGTGGGTTCTCGCAGCATTGAGCCCCTGCCATCTTTTGCTACTGAAGATTGATCAAATTAGAAAGAAAGGAATGATATTCAGCGACTTTATAATCACTAATCTTCATGCCAGTAAATTATTATAGTGAGGTTGTGGAGTTAGCAAGCTACAAGGATGCACTGCACGATTATATATGTATGATTTTCGCCTTTTTAATGGAATAAATAAATGAAATAGTCAACGAATCTTCAAAAGTCAGCAATGGCTCTCAATTACTAATATGTTATATTATGTTTTCTTTTTTTCAACAAATAAACATTAAAAAATAGTAAAATCAAATTACACGCCTCTCTAGCTAAATCCTCCTTTTATTTTCATGGCTGTTTAACATATGCACATGTCTATAATTTTTGGAAATATTTCATTGGTAAATTATTCTGAAGATAAAATGTTCTCTTTTGAATGTTAGTACAGTTTCTAGGTCTGATATATGATATTTTAAATTTTTGAAATCTCCATTAAAATGTTAAGTCAGGTGTGTCGGTTATTTCATGCAAAAGATAAACAAAGTATTATTTCTTCTGTCAAAATTATACAAGGTGGTTAGACAGAATTTATGCATTTATATACAGTACAATTGGGCATTTTTAGTTTTTTCTTTCATTTTTATATGAACTTATAGTAATCCAATAAAATTGAAGGTCATTTTTGACATTTTAAAAATATATGTAGCAATTGAAACTCATTTTTCACCTCTAATTTAAGGTCTGGGGAGTGTGTTATAACCTCATGCAAAAGGCAAGGACGTATTGTTTCAAATTCATAAGGTTAAAACGTGGAGTGAGATTTACGCTCTCGTTTACATTGAATTGTGTCAGTGGCATTTTATAATTGAGAACGAAAGTCAAATCCAGAATGTGCGTGCTCTTATAATATTTTTTAACTGGTACATATAATACTCCTTGGAATTCATAATCAACTGTCAGCAAGAGGCAAAGATGACACTTGGCTAGTTAAGTGATTAATATTTCGAGTTTAGTATTTATTTACAAACTTCTGACTTTTTGGGGCAAGCTATACACAACTCACGAATTATTCGTACATATCTGATACTACCAAATCTTGTAATTATCTTTTTCGTGGATTCATAAACAATCTAATAATAGACTACGTCTACCGGCTGGCGACTGGGAATGGAAATGCTAACCAAGTAAAAATAAGGGTGTCTAACGGGTGGGCCGGATTTGGTTGGGTAGGAAATATTTTGAATCGTACCGATTTGGAATCGGGCCGGTTACGGGTAAGGGGTTACCGGGCTTAACGGATTGGGGTTTATCCGGGTAAAATGAACTGTAAGGGTTACGGGTACAAGGGGCCGGGCCGGGTTAGTGTAATTTTTAATTATTTTTTTTTTTTTGTTTTTTTTTGTATTTTGTATAACTATTGTAAGTTATATTAATATAAAGTAAAAATATAAAGAATACAATGAAGATGGGGAAAAATTGCACTTATAAATTGCAAGTGCTACATTTATTTCAAATTTCAAACTTACAAATCGAAAGGTTTACATCTAACAAGTAAATTAACGAAAAAAGAGTAAATTCAAAGGTTTTGCATTGTCTTAGTAAGTTCTTCATAATCAATATGAACTGATTGGCCTTCTTCTGGAGTGTTAAATTCAGATGGGTTACCATGTATTAATATATCTCCAAGTTCCTCATCTTCTGGGCTATTAACATCTTCACGTCCTTGATTTCTTCGCTCCGATCTAATCCAATCTCTGAAACATACTAAAACTTTCAAAGCACTGTTTCCCAATGAGTGACGGGTGTCTCCAAGTTGTTGTCTTGCTTGGCTAAATGCACTCTCTGATGCAACAGTTGAAATTGGCGCATTCAGCACGTCCCGAGCCATAGCGGAAAGAACGGGAAATTGCTTTCCATTCTCATGCCGCCATCCCATAGTAAAAATTCCTTTGTGCGAGGCTCTTTTTGCTTTTGCAAGTAGAATTGAAGTTCATCAATGTTCCTGCTACTGGTTTGAGTGTTAGAAAATGTAGAAAAAATATTAAAACTATCAAGGTCTTTATCATCATCTACAATAGTAGAAGTGGTACAATGCATAGTGGGATTAACATTGCCTACATTAAGAGCATCATCATCAATTATATTTGCATAATGATTATATAATTTTGTAAAGGATCATTTAGCTTGTTCATACAAACATACATATCTGGGGTTTCAGTTGGTCCAATCTCCATATAAGTATATAAAGCATCGATTAATTGGTAACAACCAGACATCTTAAGAGAAGGATTTAAAACAACACCAATTAAGTAAATCGGAGGAATTGGAAAGAAATAATTTTTGAATTTGCTTGCATTTTTTCAACAACATCCTTATATTTTTCTTTCTTCTTAAATTCAAAGAGTAGAAAAGAAATTTCAGCTATATGTACTAAAGTCATAGTAACACTAGGGTAATATGCTCCAGAAAACTCAATAGTAGCTGTATAAAATTTATGTAAAAATTTAACAACATCATTAATGGTCTCCCAAGTAGTAGTTGTTAATATACAGTTTGGATCAGTACAATGCGCATTAACAACTTCAGTTATTGGGAATCTATATTTGTAGTAATATTTTAAAAATATATATGTATAATTCCATCTAGTAACAATTTCCTCTGGCATGAATCTGGGCTTAAGGTTATGCTCGGTACACTTATTCTTAAATTCCCTAATTCTAGATTGTCTATTATTTCCTTGAATAACATCAACTGCTCTTCTAACATGAGTAATCTCAGTTGAAAATAAATCAAGGCCACTTTTATCAATTAAATTATAAACATGACATGCACACCTAACATGAAAATTTCGTCAAGTGGTGGTTGCAAATGCAGTTTTAATATTGAAACTACGGCATTATTGTTAGAAGCATTATCAAAAGACATACACAATACTTTTTGCTTGAGATTATAAAATTCAACAACTTCGCAAATAGTAGTACTTATAAACACAGCAGTATGACTCTGATCTTCATCATATTTAAAAGCGATAATACATTTTTGCATATAATAATTATCATTTATCCAATGACATGTAATTGTCAAATAATCATTTTCATTAACAGCATGGCCAATATCAGAAGTTAGAGAAACTCTACAAGGAAGGTGGCTAAACAAATAACGTATGTATGTTTGATATTGTCCATGAAGTCTAAAGATATCAGATCTACTAGTACTTCTAGGGATACCTTTAAATAAAGGATTAGAAATCCTTTGAATATACATAATAAGATATGATGAAGAAGCAAAAGAAAAAGGTATACAACCCAAAACAATCATTTTTTCTAACTCCTCACGATCCTTCATTTTATTATATTTCATAAGTCCTCCAGTAGTAGGGTTTAGAGTTGCTTGATTTCCATCTCCATCAGAGCCTCATTCTATAGGATGCTCAATTCTCATAGTCTACTAAGTACCCCAGTCCCCCCCTAATTGTCATCCAGTCTAATGTTTAAAATCATCATTACAAAGTTTGCATTTAACTCTATCAGTACCTTCTATTTCGTCAAAAAAATTCCAAACCTTACTTCTTTTTCTCCGATTAGTAATCGGGGCCACAGGTGGTCTATTACTAGCACCATGACCACCACCCCTGCTACCATCTCCAACACTACTATGTGTAAGTGGTATCTCATCTTCCATTTCTAATTCATTATCTTCTATACCGAAAACTTCCGGTAATTGTTCATAATCTATATTATTATCAGGTAATGTTTCAGGAATATGTGTAGAGTCATTTAAATTACTACCAGATGATGAAGCAGAAGTACTACCTCTTTTTTATTTCCCCGATTAGTAACCTTATTACAAATTCTTTTTGCAGCATTAAACATATTGTGAAAATTTAACTACTAGCAAAAATTAAATATGCATATAAAATAGTAAATAAGAGAAAGAGTTGGAGGGAGTGCACTGAATTCGGCAATAAATTAAACACTTGATGATTTGGCAACTCCAATATTACCACGAAGAAACGTCAGTTGTTCAAACTCAAACTTCAAACTTCAAATAATAAATAATACGATAAATGAAATTCCAAAAAAAAATAAGAGCCAAATACTTTATTGCACTGTAGGTGAAGAATGACAGAATGATAATTGAGAATATGAGTTTGAGAAATGAGAGATGAGTGAAGAAATGAAGAAGAGGAAGGGTGTATTTATAGGTTTTCAAAGGGCTAATTAGGTAATTATAAAAGGTGTTAGTTTTTTTAAAAAAAAGGCCCAAAAATGGGCTATTTGTGCAAAACTGACATTGGGCAACGCCCCCAAGGGCCAGCAGACTATTGCCAACGGTCAGAAAGTCAGGCATAATTAAAAAAAATTGAAAGTAGTCGTAATATCGGTCTGGGCCGGGCCGGTTAACCGGATCTATAGTAAATATTGTTGATCGGGTTTGACCGGTCCGGTTAACCGGTGGAATTTAAGTGATCGGACCAACCCCCCTTACCCTATTAACCCAGCTCACCCGACCCCCTTTGTACCGGTCCGGGCCGATTCCGGTTTCAACCGGTCTGGGCCGGTCCGAAAGCGGGTTGACCCAGCCCATTAGACACCTTTAAGTAAAAATGCCAATCTTTCTTGTCACTCTACATCGTCATTGATATAAGCTTGTTTTGCTAAATTTCTTTTTGTCAAAAGTATTTTTTTTTCAAAGTTAAAGTGTTTGACCAAATTATAAAAGGAAAAAGGTATTTTTGAGTAGAAGCAAAAGCAATTTTTAAGAAGCAAAAAAAAACTAACTTCTCCCAAAAGCATTTTTTTAAAAAGCTTGATCAAACACTGATTGTTGCTCAAACCATGTTTTTCAAATTGATTAGCCAAATACAAATTAATTCTCGCCAAAAATACTTTTTAGAAAAGTGTTTTACTTTTGGAAAAAACACTTTTCAAAATAAGCTAATTTTATAAACACGGCCAAAGAGGCTATTCAGTCACAAAGAGAAGCAGGAATCTCAGAAGTGGTGGGAGAGTGTGACATTTATAATTCTAATTACCAACTCGTGATTACATTATATTTGTTATGCAACGCCTTCCTTATGTTCTTTGGAAGGGCAACGTAAGGCTAAGCAACCGATGTTAGTGCGGTTGTTGTCCGCCAAT